TAGATAGTGATAGATAAGATAGATAGATAGATAGATAAGCTAGTAGATAGATAGATAGATCAGATAGATAATAGATACCATAGATACCAGAAATCAATATTATCAAACAATCAAGTGTTAAAGCAAACATTTCTATTTCAAAAGAGGTTTTATACCAGAACGTGTCTTTAAAGCTGAAACTACACTAAAGTGCATTTACATCTCTTTAAATCCTCTAATTCCATCAATATCAATTTCAACTCCCTTTCACTTCATATTCATAATTAGAGCAAACAACGAATACGAATTTTTACAAACAATTATAAATGAATTTAAATTGATGCCGAAACAACCAGGCCATAACATACAAAGGCTTTTTCGTAGTTTCGGCAAAAATTCGTAAATGTTTCTTAAATACTACATCTTGATCCATCCAATTTGAGGAAAATAAAGCATACGTTAAATTTTGAAATTCCTCCTCCATAATAGTGCCATAATAACAAACGGGCAAAATTTCACCAGTCATGGCTAAGAAGTAAAAGAAATAATATAACATGGTAAAGAAATCGGTGGCAAATAGAATGATAAATACGATGGTAGCGCATAAATTTATGCTAGTGAAGAGAATCTGCAGGAACATATAGAAGGAGATGACATCCTGTAGTTTGCTGTGATAGCTAAAAATGTATAAGAATATAAAATGATCTCACAGAAACAATGTTTCAACTTACATCAATATATCCTTATGATCCTGTATACACTTCAATAACTCCTGATTATTTTCGGCCTGGGATTTCTTAACATCCCTACCCAATTTGGCTACCCTCATACTTAAAGCATGAATCTGGCCGCTCAACAAAGCCAAATGCATGGCGGCAAAGGTATCATTCAACACATTCTGCAAAATTTGAAATGATACTCCAACATATTGATACAAATGCGCCACTACGTACAATTTTGTGCTAGAAAATGTATCGAATGGAAAGTAACCGGGATACATTAATTCCCAACTACCCATTAAACCATTACATAACACCATTAATTCAGCAAACGAACTCGAACCAATACATAATATAACAAATGTATACAATACCAGGCGTACATTCTTAAATGTCACATTTTTGTAATAATAAGCCTCATCTTCCGCCAAACTAATACGTTGATCCTGACGCTTTATAATGTCAAACATATTTGTTATGTTTTTAAATTTCAACCAAATCGCCACAGTTTTAATGGAGCACACCAAACAGGTCAAAGCAATGGCCAAATTTTTGATTATATCATACATTGTAGTACTCTTGAATAGACCAACAATTAAATGTAATGGATAACCCACCGTTATGATAATATTCACAAGTATCGAATAGGCAATATAGAGTTGACGATATTTTTCCGTTGGTAGAAAGCCCAAAATTCGCCAACATATGAAATGTGTGCGAAATATGGATTCACCTCGTATAGTCGTAGTGGTGGTGGTGGTGGTCATCTTGTTGTTACCGTTAATGCTATTTTGAATTGCTAGTAATCTTAATAGTTAACTGTCCGGTTTTTTATACATTCTTTTATACTTGTTGCGAAGCTTTCTGTTAGAATTTTAATTACGTTTAATTTATGGGATAATTGCAAATAATTAGCGCAGTCAATCGGTTTTGAAAATTAAATAATATTTTGGTTAAAATATACATATGACGTATTTATATTGGGGTATTCCGAATATTGAGGAAGTATTTGTTTAAGATTCTTTGTGTGCTCTTATAGATAGATAGATAGATAGATAGATAGATAGATAGATAGATAGATAGATAGATAGATAGATAGATAGATAGATAAATAGATAGATAGATAGATAGATAGATAGATAGATAGATAGATAGATAGATAGATAGATAGATAGATAGATAGATAGATAGATAGATAGATCGAGATATCACACAAAATTCCCCACTCATATATTTTCACACAAATTAAATCTATCTATCTAGTATTACTGCAAAAAATTTACTTTGAACCTCCCATATATATGTATGAGGTGATGCCTAAATGTATAAATCTTTTAATACAAAACTGCTATAATTTGATAATATATTGTTATTAGCCTCAAAAACACTTAAAAATCAAGCAAAAAAAAGACGTAAGTTTGTGGTCACTGACAGCTTTTTTGAGTGAGTTAATAGTTATTTTAACATCAATCATTTTAAATATGTACATAAGAAAAAAATTAATTAACACACCATATTGAAATAATTGAATTTTTCAGATTGTATATTTTAACCCATTTTTTCATATTGATCTTTATAAATAACCAAAGCAATTTAACTTGTTGATAAGTTATAGATATAAAACAATTTACAAAAAATGTATAACTAGTTTAAAATTTTTCTTATTTTGTTCATAAAAAACTATATTTTTATTAAATTATTTTAAAGGTTAATACGGTTGCCAAAAATTTGACATTACCTTCATCTGCAAAATGTTTCTTTAATAATCATTTTGTAGACAACTAAAAATATGCTAATATTTTCTTATTTTACATTAGCCTTAAAGTATGCAAGTACTTGTTTTAATTACTTACATCAATTAAGGGTTTAATTTTCTCTTAGGACATGTTGTTGATTTTTTTTTTCTACTTTTCTCTCTCTCTATCTCTCATTTAACATATTAAATGTAAACATTTAACAAGTTCATTGAACTAAATGCCGGGAATTTATGCTCAATGGTCACTGAAAACACACAGACACCAAAAAAAAAAGAAAATAAATTAAAAAATATTAGCAGTTTAAACATAAATAATAAATTAATTTATGTCATTTTCATTTATCCACATACTCTACAGTGCTACTTTCTGTATTATTTAGTTGTTGTTGGAAAATGTATGTTTTCTATGGACAGCAGCTGGAGGTCTGTGTTAGAAAGGAGATAGGAAATCATAAGGAATTTGGAGATGAAAGGTATATAGTATACAAATACTGGGACAAAACAGCAAAAGTTTGACACATTTTTGTAATACTCGAGAATTTTCTTTTATTTTAAAAACCTAAAAATTTGGCGATATCGGACATAGAACTCAATTACCAAAATCTTAAAATTTTTCAAATATTTAAAATTCATTAAAATTTCAGTATTTATAACAATTTAATGAGGTTCATTATTAAATTAATTAGTACTCATAACTAACTGATTTCGTATATGTAGTTGCAACATCTAGGTTTTTTAATCGATTTCAACCTAAAGTGGGTTAAATATGCTCCGGTTTACACATACAATTCTTTTTATTTATTTTCATATTAAACAATATATATTTTTGTTTGCTTTATATTGTTATATGTATGTAAGGAAATTTAATTATTTGCAAAAAAAAAATATGTTGCTTGTGAACTTAAACATACGCTAATTAAGGTGGCTCCCAAAACAAATAGAAAATATAAAGCCCTAATAACACAGAAACATTTGAGTACAAAAATTTAAAAACCCTCATAACTTAACACCTCCCTAATACAATTTTTACACACAAAAACTATGCGACATTCATGTAGAATTTTTTTTTTTTTCTATTGTTTAAACAATCTTCTTATACACGATGTATGCGATATTTTGTACTTGATATACATAGTAAAAATCTATTGTTTTTAACCATGTCATTATGCAATCAATATCTTTTTTATTTATTTACTTTTTTCAATGCATTTTTAATAGCCAATGGTTTCTATTTGTTAATAAAACTATGTCACTCAAAACATTGTCATTATTTGTATTCCCTTTTATTTTCATCTTATTTCGCTATTCGCTTGAATACAGTTTATTTTCGCTGAAATAACCGTATTTTGTATGACACCCTTTGGGCTGTTAAAAACACACTTTAAATCTTAATAAACACTGAAATTTCAAGATCAAAGTGATCAACAACAGTTCCATCGAAATTTTTTTGGAAATTTTGGGAACTTTTTTAGTTACAGTTCAGTTCTAGTTCAGTTCTAGTCAGGTTCTAGATTCAGTTCTAGTTCAGTTCTAGTTCAGTTCTAGTTCAGTTCTAATTCAGTTCTAGTTCAGTTCTAGTTCAGTTCTAGTTCAGTCTAGTCAGTATCTAGTTCAGTTCTAGTAAGTTCAGTTCAGTTTCTAGTTCAGTTCTAGTTCAGTTCTAGTTCAGTTCTAGTTCAGTTCTAGTTCAGTTCTAGTTCAGTTCTAGTTCAGTTCTAGTTCAGTTCTAGTTCAGTTCTAGTTCAGTTCTAGTTCAGTTCTAGTTCAGTTCTAGTTCAGTTCTAGTTCAGTTCTAGTTCAGTTCTAGTTCAGTTCTAGTTCTAGTTCAGTTCTAGTTCAGTTCTAGTTCAGTTCTAGTTCAGTTCTAGTTCAGTTCTAGTTCAGTTCTAGCTCAGTTCTAGTTCATTTCTAGTTCAGTTCTAGTTCAGTTCTAGTTCAGTTCTAGTTCAGTTCTAGTTCAGTTCTAGTTCAGTTCTAGTTCAGTTCTAGTTCATTCTAGTTCAGTTCTAGTTCAGTTCTAGTTCAGTTCTAGTTCAGTTCTAGTTCAGTTCTAGTTCAGTTCTAGTTCAGTCTAGTTCTAGTTCAGTTCTAGTTCAGTTCTAGTTCAGTTCTAGTTCAGTTCTAGTTCAGTTCTAGTTCAGTTCTAGTTCAGTTCTAGTTCAGTTCTAGTTCAGTTCTAGTTCAGTTCTAGTTCAGTTCTAGTTCAGTTCTAGTTCAGTTCTAGTTCAGTTCTAGTTCAGTTCTAGTTCAGTTCTAGTTCAGTTCTAGTTCAGTTCTAGTTCAGTTCTAGTTCAGTTCTAGTTCAGTTCTAGTTCAGTTCTAGTTCAGTTCTAGTTCAGTTCTAGTTCAGTTCTAGTTCAGTTCTAGTTCAGTTCTAGTTCAGTTCTAGTTCAGTTCTAGTTCAGTTCTAGTTCAGTTCTAGTTCAGTTCTAGTTCAGTTCTAGTTCAGTTCTAGTTCAGTTCTAGTTCAGTTCTAGTTCAGTTCCAGTTCAGTTCTAGTTCAGTTCTAGTTCAGTTCTAGTTCAGTTCTAGTTCAGTTCTAGTTCAGTTCTAGTTCAGTTCTAGTTCAGTTCTAGTTCAGTTCTAGTTCAGTTCTAGTTCAGTTCTAGTTGAGTTCTAGTTCAGTTCTAGTTCAGTTCTAGTTCAGTTCTAGTTTAGTTCTAGGTCAGTTCTAGGTCAGTTCTAGGTCAGTTCTAGTTCAGTTCTAGTTCAGTTCTAGTTCAGTTCTAGTTCAGTTCTAGTTCAGTTCTAGTTCAGTTCTAGTTCAGTTCTAGTTCAGTTCTAGTTCAGTTCTAGTTCAGTTCTAGTTCAGTTCTAGTTCAGTTCTAGTTCAGTTCTAGTTCAGTTCTAGTTCAGTTCTAGTTCAGTTCTAGTTCAGTTCTAGTTCAGTTCTAGTTCTCAGTTCAGTTCTAGTTCAGTTCTAGTTCAGTTCTAGTTCAGTTCTAGTTCAGTTCTAGTTCAGTTCTAGTTCAGTTCTAGTTCAGTTCTAGTTCAGTTCTAGTTCAGTTCTAGTTCAGTTCTAGTTCTAGTTCAGTTCTAGTTCAGTTCTAGTTCAGTTCTAGTTTAGTTCTAGTTCAGTTCTAGTTCAGTTCTAGTTCAGTTTCTAGTTCAGTTCTAGTTCAGTTCTAGTTCAGTTCTAGTTCAGTTCTAGTTCAGTTCTAGTTCAGTTCTAGTTCAGTTCTAGTTCAGTTCTAGTTCTAGTTCAGTTCTAGTTCAGTTCTAGTTCAGTTCTAGTTCAGTTCTAGTTCAGTTCTAGTTCAGTTCTAGTTTAGTTCTAGTTCAGTTCTAGTTCAGTTCTAGTTCAGTTCTAGTTCAGTTCTAGTTCAGTTCTAGTTAGTTTAGTTCAGTTCTAGTTCAGTTCTAGTTCAGTTCTAGTTCTAGTTCAGTTCTAGTTCAGTTCTAGTTCAGTTCTAGTTCAGTTCTAGTTCAGTTCTAGTTCAGTTCTAGTTCAGTTCTAGTTCAGTTCTAGTTCAGTTCTAGTTCAGTTCTAGTTCAGTTTAGTTCAGTTCTAGTTCAGTTCTAGTTCAGTTCTAGATCGGTTCTAGTTCAGTTCTAGTTCAGTTCTAGTTCTAGTTCAGTTCTAGTTCTAGTTCAGTTCTAGTTCAGTTGTAGTTCAGTTCTAGTTCAGTTCTAGTTCAGTTCTAGTTCTAGTTCAGTTCTAGTTCAGTTCTAGTTCAGTTCTAGTTCAGTTCTAGTTCAGTTCTAGTTCAGTTCTAGTTCAGTTCTAGTTCAGTTCTAGTTCAGTTCTAGTTCAGTTCTAGTTCAGTTCTAGTTTCAGTTCTAGTTCAGTTCTAGTTCAGTTCTAGTTCAGTTCTAGTTCAATTCTAGTTCAGTTCTAGTTCAGTTCTAGTATCAGTTCTAGTTCAGTTCTAGTTCAGTTCTAGTTCAGTTCTAGTTCAGTTCTAGTGTCAGTTCTAGTTCAGTTCTAGTTCAGTTCTAGTTCAGTTCTAGTTCAGTTCTAGTTCAGTTCTAGTTCAGTTCTAGTTCAGTTCTAGTTCAGTTCTAGTTCAGTTCTAGTTCAGTTCTAGTTCAGTTAGTCAGTTCTAGTTCAGTTCTAGTTCAGTTCTAGTTCAGTTCTAGTTCAGTTCTAGTTCGTTCTAGTTCAGTTCTAGTTCAGTTCTAGTTCAGTTCTAGTTCAGTTCTAGTTCAGTTCTAGTTCAGTTCTAGTTCAGTTCTAGTTCAGTTCTAGTTCAGTTCTAGTTCAGTTCTAGTTCAGTTCTAGTTCAGTTCTAGTTCAGTTCTAGTTCAGTTCTAGTTCTAGTTCAGTTCTAGTTCAGTTCTAGTTCAGTTCTAGTTTAGTTCTAGTTCAGTTCTAGTTCAGTTCTAGTTCAGTTCTAGTTCAGTTCTAGTTCAGTTCTAGTTCAGTTCTAGTTTAGTTCTAGTTTAGTTCTAGTTCAGTTCTAGTTCGGTTCCAGTTCAGTTCTAGTTCAGTTCTAATTCAGTTCTAGTTCAGTTCTAGTTCAGTTCTAGTTGAGTTCTGGTTCAGTTCTAGTTGAGTTCTAGTTCAGTTCTAGTTCAGTTCTAGTTCAGTTCTAGTTCAGTTCTAGTTCAGTTCTAGTTCAGTTCTAGTTCAGTTCTAGTTCAGTTCTAGTTCAGTTCTAGTTCAGTTCTAGTTCAGTTCTAGTTCAGTTCTGTAGTTCTAGTTCAGTTCTAGTTCAGTTCTAGTTCAGTTCTAGTTCAGTTCTAGTTCAGTTCTAGTTCAGTTCTAGTTCAGTTCTAGTTCAGTTCTAGTTCAGTTCTAGTCAGTTCTAGTTCAGTTCTAGTTCAGTTCTAGCTCAGTTCTCGTTCAGTTCTAGTTCAGTTCTAGTTCTGTTCTAGTTTAGTTCTAGTTCAGTTCTAGTTCAGTTCTAGTTCAGTTCTAGTTCAGTTTAGTTTAGCTCTAGTTCAGTTCTAGTTCAATTCTAGTTCAGTTCTAGTTTAGTTCTAGTTTAGTTCTAGTTCAGTTCTAGTTCAGTTCTAGTTCAGTTCTAGTTCAGTTCTAGTTCAGTTCTAGTTTAGTTCTAGTTCAGTTCTAGTTCAGTTCTAGTTAGTTCTAGTTCAGTTCTAGTTCAGTTCTAGTTCAGTTCTAGTTCAGTTCTAGTTCAGTTCTAGTTCAGTTCTAGTTTAGTTCTAGTTTAGTTCTAGTTTAGTTCTAGTTCAGTTCTAGTTCAGTTCTAGTTCAGTTCTAGTTCAGTTCTAGTTCAATTCTAGTTCAGTTCTAGGTCAGTTCTAGTTCAGTTCTAGTCAGTTCTAGTTCAAGTTCTAGTTCTAGTTCAGTTCTAGTTCAGTTCTAGTTCAGTTCTAGTTCAGTTTCTAGTTCAGTTCTAGTTCAGTTCTAGTTCAGTTCTAATTCAGTTCTAGTTCAGTTCTAGTTCAGTTCTAGTTCAGTTCTAGTTCAGTTCTAGTTCAGTTCTAGTTCAGTTCTAGTTCAGTTCTAGTTCTAGTTCAGTTCTAGTTCAGTTCTAGTTCAGTTCTAGTTCAGTTCTAGTTCAGT